ATTCACACTTTCATACTCACATACACTGCCACAAAAGATGATCCTTTAGTTTGTATGCATTTGTTTTTGCATTTTAATTCAATTTACGCTAACAACTTTTATACTCACATTCATATATATATATATATATATATATATATATTCTTGTTTTTTTTGCTTTCCGTTTTCTTTTCATATATAAAATATGCATGACAGTCCGCAGTCATTCATCCCGTAACTTTATATGTTTGCTGCATATATATTTTTATTGTTACTTTCTTTCTTCTTGTGTTTTTTTTTTTTTTTTTTTTTTTTTTTTGCGCGCATTACAAAATTTTATTTGTGAGAAATATTTTTTATAAACCTTTAAATTCTATGAAACGAAAGAAAAGTAGATTTTGGTCACATATGCTCGTAATTTTCGAAAGCGTGATAGTACTTTAATGCTTCAATTTTTTTTTTTTCAAATTAAGCTTTAAAAAGCGCTTAATACGCTTTCACCGCAATTCGCTCGAACTGAGATAAGGTTTAATCCACCCCTTTGTATAGTCATACTTGATTTTTTATATCGTTGCAACTGAAATCATTCTTCATTTCATCATTTTCTCTTCTCTTTGGCACGGAGGAGCGGGCTCATTCTGCTCATAAGCACCACAGGTTGAGTGATAAAGTGCATAGGTGAAAATGGTAAGGTTTTATTTATCGGTATTTTGGTTTGTCTTTCGAAACAAAAGGTGGTCTTATTTAAGCTCACATTACTTAGCTAGGTCTCCAAGATACCAATAGTCCTCTTGAACAGCTTTTCGGAAGCTTTCGAACTTAATTGAAACAGTTCCCATTCCATTGCTTAATTAGCCCTTAAAATGCCTTTAAAAATCCCACTGAATAACTTAGTAGGTGAGAAACGCGACTTACCAAGTCAGCGGTCGTGAGTTCAAATCTCAAGTGGAATAGGGTTTGCTTTGATTGCAGCTATAGTGAGTGCATAGCCGGGAAAGGCATAATACTTATGGATTGGGCACAAACCCATTAGGAGATGGCCACCATCACCGTAATACTTTCTCTCCTCTTGCTAACCGTCACCGTATTACGCGAGTAGGGAACCATTCATCAAAGTATGCGCGAACCCCATCTTTATTCCAGGGCAAGATAAAGGATGCCGCACAGCCGAGTAGTTAAAAGTCACGATTATCAAATCGACCACCAAGTACATCTTTCTTGATTGTACTTATAGTGTATTCTCAGTCGTTGAACACGTATAACACTTACCAATAGGGCAAGCACACATCTACTAGTCTTCGACAGCTCCCTACGTTTTTCTCTCCTTTCCTACTTCTTCCTCTCAGTGATTCGCGGTATACCCATGTATTATATACTTACATGTTCACATGTGTATACATATACATACATCTATAGATAGATACATGTTTAAAAGACGTGGTCTCTTTGAATGTGGTTTCGTTAAGCCCCACTTTCCGCAATGGTTCACCGAGAAATCGCAGCGTAGAAGTTGAATTTTCTTGAGTTTGTGTGGGTAGTTCATAGTACACATTCAATGTCATCGTTAGTTAATAAATTGTCCCTACTCTCTTTATACCCTACATCACTTATGGTATAAGCGTATGTCACACTTGGGGTGTTACATATCCCCAGAAGGACTTGAGGTAAATCCACCTTTTATTATACCAATTCAGAATTCAGCTCACAGATCGTAATTTTTGAGATATTTTGATGAAATTTGGTAAACTGACGTGTTTTGATTCAAGGACGGATGTTAATAAAAATGGTTCGGATCGGACTACTTCCTCGATCACTTTCTATGTCAAGTTTTTTTTTTTTTTGAAAAGCCGCCGTTATGTGGGTAATTGTATGAAGCGCATGTTATGTTTGTTCTTTCTATTTTGGTTTACTTATCAGTTAGCATACTAAGCCCTCTCTTCGCCCGTTTGTCGTCGATTTGATGCAGTCGTTTACTTGCCATCTTCTGAATAAACTGAAAAAAAAACCGGAAAAACTATCGCTTAGTGTAAATTCTCTTCCGTTAGGTGCATTGCTCACGTCCTCGTCGTTTAAATCATACTGATACGTTATAAGGTGGCAATTAAGTGTAGACACTAATTCCATTGTATAAGATACAATTAAAATAAAATTTCATTAAAGTTAAACATTAAAAAGGTCTTGGTCCATGTCTTTCATTTATCTTCGGTACGTTGGAAGGTAACGCATAAAGGGAAAGTGAGTTTTAGGGAAGAATATCAAAGCACTAGCTACTGTCGCACCGCCATCACAAAGGATATCTGAGTAAAGAGAGTTGAAGAAAAAGACAAAAATCAATTGTCGAAGACCTTTGATCTTTTGACTGACCCAAGGTATTCATTTCGTGGGCTGTGGCTTTTGCATGTCGCGCGAATTGAAAACGCATGAGGTTGCATAGCGAAATAACGAGGCCAAATGGGCAGAAAATGCTTTAAAGTAATACTAACAATAGCGACGTCTCTCTTTAATACATTTCTAGCGGAATCAAATTAGAATAATTCTATGTAGTATTGCTGTAATCCTGTGTAGCTACGTAAATGATGCGAAGACGCATATGAGTGTTTACTTGTTTTACGAAAGTGAAGCCGAGTCGAATTCGTTGTCTAAATTCCATATAGAGTCCAACGAAAACTGCATTGCTACATGCGTATTGCTATTTTTGCCTGCAAACTCTGGTCACCTTATTTTTAAGTACAACGAGGTAAAGGACGAAAATGTAAATAGTTAAAGAGCCAACCCATGGAACACGAATATAAAAGTAAAATTTAATGGTAGGACATCACATTAGCTTCTTGGAATGACTCTCTGCTGGGATAACTTTTCCTAAAATTACTTTCCACACTGATACGGTTTCTTGCCCCGGTCATCAGTAACATGATAGAATTTGATTTTGCTCGGGAATAACATAAACGCCACCGTAGCTGCTCCGCCCTTCACATGCTAGGTTGAGACCATTTGTAATTGCCATCTGTCTGATATTTCCGTTCGACTGTTGATATTAATTTTCATTCAATGGAACAATGGAGCTTCGTATGACTGCTCACTATTTCGCTTGCCTTGCCTGCTGACTCATTTCCCAAATCGACATATACGCTGCTGGCTGCCTGGACGACCCCCAATTACAAATAAGTCCTTCAGCAAGTTATTAGTAAACCCCTTTACTTTGGCCAAATTTTTGTCTATGCAAACACTTACGTTTAGAAATGTGTTTCTATCATATCCAACAAAAAAAAAAAAATTACACTGGTTTCATCTCCCCAAGAACACCCAGCAATTGCAATAAAGTGTATCTCATGCGCAAACTATCGTAACAGTGCTTGTATCCATTTAGATAAGTAAAAGCACCTAAAAAGTTAATATTGTTACATATAGCATTGCTTTAGGCCGCAGGAAACCTTCTGGTCAACAATTTTGTCAAGTCATTGTTGATGAAGGGGTTTTGTCTTTTTTATGTGTATTGCACGAACATCAATTTTATGAGTTCATCTGTCATTTCAAAAAAGATGAAGTGAAGATTTAAAAACATCGATGATAATAAAATTTTGATATGCATAGTTGTTCTAATCGCTTAACGAACTTAACATATTAAATTTTCATGTTACTTGTTGTTGTTAGTTGAAAATAACATCGTAATTAACGTTGTCACTGACTGCAGTGTCGTCGAGAGCTTTTATAAATTTTGTATTTTTCACTTTAAAAAAAAAAAAAACTCTTTTCTTACTTTTTGTTTAACATTCCGTTTTTTTGCTCTGCTTTGTTTCATATTAAATAGAAAGTAAAACGTGCGCGGAGGTATATGTGTGGATTTCTGCACCTGTGATTTGAATGTAAGTTAGAAAGAACGCATAAAATAGATGTGAATGCAAGCAAACACTTGCCTTTGCTTCATCTTTTTTTCTCTTTTTTCTCGTTTACATTCACTCTCGAAGGATTGGGTTCTATTACGTTGGTTATGCGTTACAGGCATATGACTCGGACACCTGCTAAGCTGCGTTTTTGAGCATAAAAGTTCGATTCCTCAATCAATTAATTTCTATATTTTTTCCTTGATTCACAAATCGGGAGAATAGGCTTAGACTATCCGTACAATTCCGATCATTTTTATATGATTGCTTGAGATATTTGAATGGTGTTATGAGATTTCGCTTCAAGCTGAACGCAGCTTTCTCTTAGAACAGTACAATTAGGCTAATCGTTAAGTGACGTTGCGCAATGTTTCATTGCTCCCATATTCCAAAAAAAAAAATATATCTTTTTTTCCTTATTCTTTCCATCCACGTCCAATATGTCCAGCTGCATACACACTTTATCGTCAATTGTTCCCCTGGCTTCTGGTTAGGAATGTTCCTTTGTTTTTTAGCTCATTCAGATCAAAGGAGACGATTGGCAACAGTTTTCAAGTATCCGGCTTAATGCATAAATTTCATATTGCGAAAGTGTTAATGAAAATCAGCTGATTCTAACATTTTCAAACAGCTGTTTTGAAACCAACAAACGAAATTTTTCAAAATTCTTCAACAAAGCAAATTTAAAAGACTTTCATTCAAGACGAACCTGTTCCCGGGCAGTTATGCAGAAAACCAAATAGGAGGAGGTGTCCATTTCCGTTTATATTAGTTGTGTAGGACCATCAGAGTACAGGTTAAATTAATTATTGTTCTTTTTTCTGATAATCTTCACGCTGTGAACTAGAATGTGAATCTTTAGGTAAAAACAGAAATGTGTTATTTCTCTTTGCTTTAGGCACACATTTAATCTACACACTTTTCTTACTGACGTGTTGACAACAACTCATCCAATATTCCTAACAAATACAATATAGGTCAGGGATGGTCCATTGTTTCACTGAGCGACGTTGTCCAGGAGGACGTGGGAAGAGAGATACGTACATTCTGCAGTCTGAAACGTGTGCGTTTTATACCGTACAATGCGAGCCGTGGTATGATTTACCGCATTGAGGTGCGCGTACACCGACTTCCTAGTCACGCTTCTTAACTGACAATGACCAGTTTGGTTACGGTAATCCTGTTTCATTCCCCCTTGATGAAGAAAAGTGAATACAGGCGTCCTCCGAGTAACACAACACTTCTAGATCACCGTTTCCGTGTGCACAGCGGTGCACACTTTTTGTATTTTATATCTATTGTGGTAATGGTCTCAAATAAACGCGTACCATAATCGCGCATAACAGCTGCCTTGGAAGTGCCGGTGATGGCATCATGATATTGAAATAATCCTAAATTTCGGCGGGCATGTATCATTTTCTCATAGTTCTTTTTGAAAATTTTAATTGCGTTTTCGTGCTTCTGCTGGCGGGCTGTGTTATAAGCTAAAGTGAACAATATCTCAGCGGCTCGTAGATTATGTTCGAGATCCGAGCTCAATATTTTGTAATAAGGTCTGGTCGTGTAAAATCCCGACCAATAGGCCGGTCGACCTTCCGAAAAGATGTCGGAATATACAAAAAAGTCTCCCTTAAAGGTGGGAAAGTCTTTCGTACGTTTACGAATTTCTCGGAAATAATCCTTCGGTGTACCGAAACTTATATCTACATTATACATACGCTTGTTATTCATACTGTGATCAATTAGTTTTTTGTAGTTCGTATATTGTTGTTTGATTTCACGCTCTTCGTTGTAACGAAAATCATCGCCTACCGGCATTAGGGCCACATTATGAGGAAATAGAGAACCAGTTCGAGCATATTGCTCCAATAGTAATTGAGCCTTTTCTTCTACATTCTCGTCAGTTATGAACTGGGCACGGACCGAGTATTCAGTATACTTTTTGAGCTTCAAAACGTTCCTCAAAACCTCTATCCCAATACTCCTTAGTACGCAACCATTCGGGCTATAAATATATATATATATATATATATATATGTATGTATCATCGTTAGTTTTACCCCACAATACCGAAAGTAAATAAATAAAGGAATAAGAAACAAGAAAATAAAGGAAACATAAATTTATGATAACATGTTGTTCGCTGCCAACTTTGGCAGCCCAGTTCATGTAATTTTACCTGAAATTCGAATTTTGCATATTCCTCAAGGGCCGTAATATTTGTATCGCTTTCATCTAAGTTGTAACATTTATCATCCCACTGAGGTTTAACATCTATACCACCAATCAAAGCGGCCGTATTGACGGGCGTTGTTGTCGTGGCCATGGA